TGGTCTCCTTGTTCAGGAAGGCCCTCTCAATGCCCAGTACACCACGAAGGGTCAGGGTGTCGAGCAGGTGGGTCTCGAATTGCTTCAGCATGACATCGTCCTCCACCTTGCTCTCGTCGTCACCTCCCTTGTCAGGTTTGATAGTACGGATGCGAATAACCTGCTCATCTGCGTTGTTGTCACTGAAAACGAGGTTGCAGTCGTTGGGATAATCCGCCTTGATGCGCGATGCGACATCCTCGACCGTCAATTCCTTGTCGAGCATCTTCTGGCGATCGAGCGTGATACGCAGCAGCCACCTATTCTGCAGGTTCGCCGATTCGTGAGAGTCATCGGGAATGGCCCAGTAAGATTCCACCATGTCGGTATCAGATGGAATCACTGTGTTCTCGAGGTCGGGGTCGTAGTAAATTTCAGTCATGGCAGTGACGGAGCGCAAAGTGGTGTGCTCGACAGTGCTGCGGAGAGCCTTGGCAGCCTCCTGGGTGGCGTTGCCCTCGCTCAGGTAGACAACCATAGAAGGTGTCTTGATGTTTTGTGCCAGGTTGAGAATCTCCTTGAGACGGGGCACACCAAGCGTAACGTTCTTGGACGACACACCGGCGAAATGGAAAGTGTTCAGCGTCATCTGCGTCGCGGGCTCACCAATGGACTGGGCTGCCAGGACACCAACCATCTCACCAGGGCTGATAGACGCCTTGGCCCAGCGACCTTCAAGCTCGCCGAGAACGTGGCTGAAGGCCAGCTTATTGAGGCGCTGAAGACAAGCAACGCCCTTGAATGCGAGGCGCGAACGAATGTGAGCCTTGAAAAGAATGGTGGCGTTGTAGTCGGCCTCCTTAGAAAGACCATCCGGACCACGAACCACAGTCATCCTGTCAAGCATAGACGAGACGGCCGGGATGACGTCCTGCGGCGTCAGGTCACTGCGCTGGAAGTCTTGCACATTGAAGAGCTTCTTTGCTGTCTCCATGATGCGAACAATGTTGAGCGGCAGCTGCATCGACTCGTCGTCCTTCCTGCGGAAGTTGATCTCTCGAACGACCCTACGGTCCTCGGCCAGGGCCTCGTATTCTTCGTCAAGAAGCTGCTGAGAGGCGGGATCACCGGCGATCTCGTTACCATATTCAAGCCAGTCGAGTTCCTCGGGTTTGTTGGCATCCATGACATCGAGCTTGTAACGGTCGTCGAACTTCTTGTTGGACATGTTGAGGAAGTCCATGCGTTGCTTCTCAATGTAGATAGCGTCGAGGCCATCTTCACCGTAGAGGAACTGAATAATATCGCCAAGCGAATTACGGACCGTGCCATCGTACTTGGCGCTAACGTCTTCAAGCGCCTTTACTAGACGACGTTGGATGTAACCCGTCTCGGCAGTCTTGACAGCAGTATCAATAAGACCCTCACGACCAGCCATGGCGTGGAAGAAGAATTCGCTAGGAGTGAGGCCACGGAGGTACGAGTTCTCAACGAAACCGCGGGCTTCAGGAGAGTAATCATCCTTGGTGAAGTGAGGCAGAGTGCGGTACTTGAAGCCGAAGGGAATACGCTTTCCCTCGACGATTTGCTGACCGACCAACGCAGTCATCTGCGAGATGTTGATGGACGAACCCTTGGAGCCAGACAGAGCCATAGTGACGGCGTTGTTGAGATCCTTCAGACTCTTCTGTGTTGTGGTACCTGCCTTGTCACGGGCTGTGTTGAGAGCTCGCGAGACCTTGCTCTCAAAGGTCTCTCGAATGTTCATACCGGGAGAGGGCTCGAGCTCGTTGTTTGTGGCCTGCTTGGTGAGGCGGGCGACTTCGTCCTTTTGTTCATCGATGTGGCCCTGGACCTTCTCAATAGTAAGGGTATCGGGAATAGTATCACCGATACCGATACTGAAACCGTTGTGGAGCAGCCAGTAGTTGACAGTCTGTTGAACGCCGTTAAGGAACTTCATCGCAGCTTCTGGGCCGTGCTCGTTGTAGACAATATGGACGATACCACCACTGGCAGCGCCAATGACCTTCTTTGTGAGGAGACCATACATGAGCTGACCGGACTGAATCAGCAGACCCTCGTCCTTGACAGAGTTGTCCTCCTTTGTGTCGGGTAAGCTGTTGAGACTGACAATCTCAGGAATGGCCATGCTCATGATCTGCTTTCCTGTCCACCGAGGGCTAGGCCTGAGGATGGCTGGAACGGGTATGATACCATCCCAGTTGGGAACCCACAGCATGATGTTCATGACCTCCTCCTTGGTGAGAAAGACGTCACGGCGGCAAAGTTTGTAGGCACCAGCCAGCGTGTCCTGGACAATACCCATGAGGGGACCGTTCCGCTGCGGCGAGACAATGTTGATAGGGACCATGCAAAGCTCTTTGATTTCGGCGCGAGTTTCTTCGCTTTGCGGGACGTGAAGGTTCATCTCGTCACCATCGAAATCAGCGTTATAAGGCGATGTGACTGACAGGTTCAGTCTGAAGGTCGAGTAGGGCATGACACGAACCCTGTGACCCATCATGGACTCCTTGTGAAGTGACGGCTGACGGTTGAAGATGATATAATCACCAGTCATGAGATGACGCTCCACCTTCCAGCCGTACTCGAGCGAGATCTGCCCGGCACGTCGGTGATGCCGCAAGTCAATTCTTGTGCCGTCTGTGCGAATGACATACTTTGCGCCGGGGTGCTCGTTTGGTCCATTTTGTACCAGCTCGTGCAGCTTGCCAATATTGTAAGGGGTAACGGTCTCCGGGTATGTCAGCGTCCTGGCAATACTCCTGGGAACACCGACCTCATCCAGGGACAGGTTGGCGTCACCAGTGATGACGGTACGAGCTGAGAAGTCGACACGTTTACCCATCAAGTTTCCTCGTAGACGACCTTCCTTGCCCTTGAGACGAGCTCGGATGGCTTTGACAGGACGTCCGCTCTTCTGAAGAGCGCGTGGTTGGCCAGCAATGTCATTGTCCATGTATGTGGCGACGTGGTATTGGAGGAGCTGCTCGAAGTCTCTGGCAATATGAGCGGGCGAAGCCTCTCTGATGGCCTGTCGAACATTGCCGTTGGCACGAATGATATCACCAAGCTTGTAGGTCAAATCATCCTCGTTCCTCATACCCTGACCTGTACCGTCCATAGAGATACTGGGACGTACAGGAGGAGGGGGAACCGGGAGAACAGTGATGATCATCCACTCAGGGCGAGCGTAGTCGAGGTTAAGACCCATATCCCTCAGGTCATCGTCGGAGATGCGACGCAGAATGCCGTGGGCGCGATCAGCCGTGATGGGAACCTCCTTGACATCTTTGACGCCGTCTTCAGTCGTTGACGTGACCTTCTCGATGAGCTGAAGGGCTTTGGCGCGGATGTCGTGCTTGACGTTGCCACAACCATCATGGGGGACCTGGTTCTGCCTCCTCAGCTCGGGGAAAGAATCGGGGCCATCCTTCTCCTCTTTGAGCTCGTTCTCGCACCGCTTCTTCTTCTTGCAATGAAGCCAGACACGATGAAAGCGCTGCTTGGGGTCTCTCGTGTTCACAGCTTGTTCGAATTCAGGGTCATTCTGAGCAGGCAAGTTAGCAAGACAAGAATCAAGGCAGTCGCTTCGCGTCGAAAAGACTGACTCTATCACCCAAGACCTTGTAACACTCAAGGCAGACGATTTCGAGAATCTTCTTGACCTTCTTGATGAAACCCGGGTGGTAGACGCCCTTGGCGAGCTCAATGTGACCAAAATGACCAGGACATTCGCCCATGGCTTGCGTGCACGTCTTGCACTTGAATTGACGATCGATGGAACCGAGAAGAGGGTCGTTGAGACCGCTGTCGCGTGGCTTGGTACGCGTCTCGTCCATCGTCTCGGGGTAGATGACGTGACAGACACTCATTGTCTTGATCTGTTCGGGCGACATGAGACCAAACTGAATTTCCTCAATCGTCTTGACGGGCGCACTTGAGTGCGTGAAGTAGAGGTTCGCCATGTTGTGTGGTGTTTTTTGCCGAAGCGGCTATCGACAGAGTATCGGGAAGCGCGCAAGTCGATGATTATTAAGTGGACGGTGGCCGTCGGTGATGGAAAGCGCGTCGAAACGAAGGATTCGCGCCCGTGGCAATCGATGGAGGCGAACCCGTCGGTCGCGGTCGTAATCTGAAGCGAAGGTGAAGAAAAGTCGGACAAAGTCGCAAGAGTCGCAAGAAAACCCGTTCCTTCCCCCGCGGAAACCTGTTCAATGATGGAAGAGAGTCTGCGCAAGCCGTTTTGGATTGATGGGGATGCGCCTCGTGAAAGAAAAATCAAATCCGATCCCTCCTGGCCAGCGGCCCAGGAGTAGCCGTTCCTACTCGTCACCCCAAATGGCCGCCACCGCTGCGGGCTTGGTCGAGACGTCGAAATCGCGTTGCTAAATTCGGTGGGCGTGTCGAGATGTCGCGCAGTCTCGAAACACTATTTGGGACGCGCGTTGTGATGGCGCCGCGACGTTGATGGCGAGGTGGTTGATGATGAAGGCAGGGTGAGGCGACGGGCAAGAGCCAGCGGACCAGAGAGAAATCTTGCCTCCCAGGCGGCTGCGCACCACGGAGATGGCGCTAGTCCAGCTTTGGCCGTCAGGCGTGTGGTGGTGGGTCTGGCTCGTGTTGCCTGAGGTACCGACACCAATTCAAGTCATGACTGGGGAACAACTCCCTTTGTCAGCCGCGAAACGGTTCCTGTAGTCAACATTCACTGGCTGTCATTCTTTCTTTCTCCGTCTCCTGTGCGTCCATGTCCGATCAAGACAAGCATGCGACGTCCAAAGTCATGTACCCCAGTCAGTGCTTTGAGTGCCTATCAGCCTCGGCGGGATCGCCGAACGGAATAACTCGATCAAAGACCAAGCAACCATCTGCACCAATGGATCGGCCCGGGACACTCCTATTTTGATACTGCATCAGATAGCCCCGCATCATGCGTCGGATGAAGACCTCCTATTATTCATTTCCAAGGTGGTCAGTTCTACGTCTCCGTCGACTGCCTATTTCTTCCGCCCCTTGGCACCCCGCCGTTTTGCCGGCGCTTTCTTGTCCGCCGACATGTCATCGAGTATCTCGCCATCCGCACCGGGGCTTCTCCTACGCATAGTGCCGGTCGAAACGGCCACGAACTCCTCCTCGCTGTCGCTATCGGCAAGGTCAAACAGGATGGGCATCCGAAATTTACCTTGGCGCCCTCCCTCGCCTGCGTTTTGCTGCTCCAGAGCCCCGCTCTCATAAGGGGTCACGACGTCGACGTCCTCATCCTCAGCATCCAGCCGTCGCTTTGTTAGCTCCTCCTGTCCGTATATGTCGAACTCGTCCTCACGCTCGACGTATTCTTGGTTCTCCTCCACCTGTGCAAAATCGGGTGCCAGTCGAGCCCATTTTTGCTCGGGTACGATGGACCAGACATATATCCTGCCCGTCTCGAGGCCGCAGGTTGCCAGAAAGTGACGTTGCGGGTGCCATTCTATGACACCTTGTTCCTCCTTCGGGCCATCCAATATTCTCGTTAGACTTCCTGTCCGACGCTCCCACACGTAGATTTCGTGATTGTTGTAAGTGGATGCCGCCACATATTCCCCTGTCGCCGTAAATGTGACGTGATTCCACGACAATCTGTTGACTTGATCCTCGAACTCGTGCTCCTTAATCAGGTAGAGGGTATCGACGTCGAGGGTGTTTAGCGTTGAGGTCGGGTACATAGAACGTTCGGACCTTTCGGTCTTGGGAGTTGACCAAAAGGTCTCGCCCGATCTAGTCAGGCGTAACGTCGTGATGACGCCGTTGCACTGCTTTCCCGAGTGTATGACGGAC